TGTTGAATATAATTGTTAAATGGCCAAAAAATAACAAAAAACAAAAAAAGTTTTTAATTTTTTTTTGATAGAGGTTTTTGATGTGTATATGTGTGATTTTTTTCAAATTTTTTCCTCTCCCCGTTCTCGAGATATTTGAAGTTTTTAAAAATGTATTAATCAAGCTCAAATTTCATAATTATTTATTATTTATGTTTATCCATCAACCCTAAAAATGTTAAACAAATCAAACGCATGAAATGTGAACCCTATTGATTTTGGCATGGAACGCCCCATATACATACACACAACTTTTTATTTTACTAATTTAATATCATTCTTGTTTTCCAGCGATTACGCGTACCCTCTGCAGCCCATTTTCGGTTACACGATTTTCGCTTCGATGATATACATTTTGAAGATGACGATACGCTGAAGGTGAGATCATTGCTTATCGCTTATTTTAACTCTAAAAATATTAACAAACCCTTTTTACATATATTCGCAAGAAAAACTTATACTAATTTCCCCATTATTTCAGGCCTGTCTGCGCATGTTCCTCGATTTGGACTTTGTTGAACGTTTTCACATTGACTACGAGGTGCTTTGCCGTTGGCTGCTGAGCGTTAAGAAGAATTATCGCAATGTTACTTATCATAATTGGCGACATGCCTTCAATGTGGCTCAAATGATGTTTGCCATACTAACGGTATGTAAAACTGAGTTCATTTGTTTTTGGCAATTATTTGGTACTGTGATGGCGTTTTGTTAGACCTTTCAAACCTATTCAATTACTTGATACTACTTCATTTAACATTTTATTGTTCTTACTTAACATAATTTTACACTTAAAAAATAACGTTTGCAATTGTTGAACTACCTTTATTTGGTCACACTAATTTTGTGCACTACCTCCTTATCTGTTGCTTTAATTTACTTTTACTTTAAAAACGGGCGACCCGTATCTTTTGCATGCAAAACTATACAATTTCAACAGTTTTCTTCTTCTACTCAGTTTTCTTCTCTACAACTATGAGTTTAAAATTGCCAAATTTTATTTTTGCTTTTGATTGATTAATCAAAGATTTCCCATAATGGACAGGCGACGCAGTGGTGGAAGATTTTCGGCGAAATCGAATGCTTGGCATTGATCATTGGTTGCTTGTGTCACGATTTGGATCATCGGGGGACTAATAACTCATTCCAAATCAAGTGAGTGTACCACATGAACTTCCATTTTAGCAGCAAATCTTAACTCCTACTTTTCATTTTTCTAGAGCCTCCTCACCATTGGCTCAACTATATTCGACATCCACAATGGAACATCATCATTTCGATCAGTGTTTAATGATTTTGAACAGCCCTGGCAATCAAATATTAGCCAATCTGTCATCTGATGATTACTGTCGGGTTATACGGGTATTGGAGGATGCCATTTTATCAACAGATTTGGCGGNTTTTTTTTTTTAGAAAACGCGGCCCATTTCTGCAATCCGTACAAGAACAACCGCTCAGCTATTGGGAGGCTGACGAACCCCGTGCTCTGCTACGTGCTATGAGCATGACTGTCTGTGATTTATCGGCCATTACAAAGCCATGGGACATTGAGAAACGTGTGGCCGATTTAGTGAGCTCGGAATTCTTCGAGCAGGGCGATATGGAGAAACAGGAATTGAATATAATGCCCATTGTAAGTTTTGGATTATTAATTAGTTCTTTGAAAGCTAAACGAAAGCGTAAATCTTAGATCTCTTTATAGGCAAAATTTATGTTAACCCAGCAGAAAATGTGTAACTGCTTTTTGTGTAACCCAGCAGGAAATCTGCAATTGCTTCTTGTGTGTACAAATGAAAATTTCTGGTCTACATAGTTCAAGACTATTCCGAACTTTTTCGGGCCCGTTTTAGAACTTATTCAGGACCATTTCATAACTAGTTCATGACTATTTGAGAACCATTTCGGGACCAGTGCTGCTCTATTTTGATACTAGTTCAGGACTATGTCAGACAAATTTCTAGACTAGTTCAGAATTGTTTCAGGACATGTTCACAACCTTTTCGACCATTTCGGGGCCTATTTAGAGGGTGTGTAATGAAATCCCGATATATCGAACCCCGAAATATAAAATCCCGAAAGACATATTCCCGACATGACCAAATTCCGACCATACATAATCCAGACAAGTAATCCCGGTAAAAAATAGCAACAGAATATAAAAAAAAAATTAACAAGAAATCGCGCAATTTTTATTTTTTTTTTAATTATTTTGAACGGCTTACTTGGCCCTTAATAGTCTACAGTCTCAACTAACGGTAAGGAAACTTGATGGTTCGATGGGGTCGAACCAGAAGGAGACGGGTGTTAGTTGAGTTGGATTAAGTGGGCATGTGATGGGTGGTTAGTGTCCTGTTCTTAATCTCCACATGCTGGATATTGATTGGAGATGTTGGAGGACGAGTCGGGCCAGAGCTACGCGGGTATCTCGTGGCAGTTGAAGCTCACTCTTGTCCACAGGTGGTGATTGCACACTGATGACGGCATTCACGCGACTGGAGTCTCTGTAGTTGGTATCAGCCTACCTGTAAATGCTTGTCTGTACAGTCCCAGTTCTAGGACCTCGTCCTTCAGCTCAAGCAAGTGTCTCTTAGGGTGCTCAGGTCTATACCACGCTACTAGGAATTGATTCCTGAGCATGATGTTGTGTCCCTTACTGTGAGAATTTAGGCTTCACCGTGGTTGTGATTTTATGGCAACATCAGAAGACATACAATGCGTCCCAATTATTCCCGGCGACCACACATGTATAGCTTAGAACCGGCGGGCCAATTGCCTTGTATGTTGGCAACAACGTTTCTGTGTCTTTGCTCCAAGTAGCGGTCTTAATGAAGACCAT